CATAATTAAGTAAATTCCCAACAAGGGATCAACCCTGGACCTGGTGGAAAGAGTATTTAGTGAATAACAAATGTGTTTTCAGTTCTTGAGGCACTGGTATTAGTTGGTTAACTGGTTGCTCATATCGGGAGAAAACTTGCAAATTAGTTATGTCCCAAAGTTAAAGAAGTCTACTTTCTTTATGGAACTCTAAACTAGATTTTCTTCTTTCTGCCCATACTACGAAAATTTTTGTTCAAGGTTTGTTTCTTTTATTGGATCCTATTTAAAGCTTTTGCCCCTTGCCCCCTTGTCTCAGATAGATCACCTTTTTTCAGATGTAGTTTTACACACTTATTTAATCCCATTGTCTTTTGGTAGTCTACTTAGTTAAATCCGTTCCTCGCATATTATTAAATCGACTCATGTTCTTTTAACTACATATTTCTTAAAACACTTCTATATTAGTTCGGATCTCTAGTTCATGTGGATGAATTAGACATTCTTGGAATTGGAGTTTTAAAATTAGAATTCATGACAAGTTTACATTGAAGTACTGTTATAGTCATGTCCTTGCCAAGCCCTTGTATAATGGATGCAATTCAAGTTGTAGGCACTTGGGATGATTGAAGAAAAAGCATTGTTAATTAATTGAACGACATTTTATAAAATCAGCAATTACAGAATGAGAAATACATTAACTCAAATATTAAAATCGCATTGGAAATATCGTAATAAAGAAAATTAAAACCTATGGAGTGAGATAAACAGTAAAGTGTGTAATTGTTTCAAGGCCATTTGTTGTGTGCTGATCTTCATGGGAAAGAGTCGTGACGGTCGCATACCCTTTTGCATTCTCATACTTGCCGGTGCCACCAACAATAACTGTTAGAATTTGGGTGTGACCCGAATTCTTTTGTTGAAATGATTGAAATATTGAAGAATTCTAGTTGAAGTGCACATCAAAAAGAATTCAGTTTGGAATGCTATTAGAGTCCTATGTTAAGTTGAAGTTATATTTTGAAAGCTCATTGGGAGTTGGAAATTGATATTGAAGTTGAAGAAGAATTTGGACATAGAAACAATTTTTAAAAAATAAAATTATATATATGTGTATATTATCTGCTTGAAAAAAAAAATATATATATATATATATATATATATATTTTTTTTTTTCCAAGTATATATATATTTTTTTTTCCAAGCAGATTGCCCGGCGCTGCAGTGCCAAGCATGGGAGCCATGACTCCCTGAGGTGGGCGCTGCGGCGCCACCTATTCTGTTCTGTTTCGTTTTTCACGTTTTCTTCTCCTAATTCGCATTGGACTCGATTTTTTGACATCTTACTCATCAACAACTATACTAAGAGGGCTTAGACATCCCCTACATGTTCTATATAAATACTAAACTCTTCTATACAATTTTATAAGTGTGAGAAAATAGATTACTAGAATTATAGGATCCATTGTAATTTTCTCTCTTCTCTATTATTCTTAAGTCGATAAAATCTCATAATTCCTCTGCCATATTCTTGTGTTCTCTATTCTTTTGTTTGATCATATACTTCATTATTATTTGTCATATAACTTCAATATCTCAATCCGGTGGTTGGTTTCACAACAAGTGGTATTAGAGATATTCTGGTATCTTGTTTGTTTTACAACAAGTGGTATCAGAGCCATTCTGGTATCTTATTTGTTTTACAACAAGTGGTATCAGAGCTTGGTTCAACAGTTCTACACAGTGTAAGGGTTGATTTGTTCGAAGTTTTTATTCGTGATGACTATCATAAAGTATGACATTCCGCTTTTGGATCGAAGTACTAGATTTTCGCTAGGCGGGTTAAAATGCCGGCAATACTCGCATAGTAGGATTTTGATGATGAGTTGTTGGGAATTGACAAGATGCCAACAATTTTGATCGTAGAGGATAAATTATGGAAGGATAAGGCAGTTTCTCACATTCATCTTCATCTATCAAATTCCATTCTTCTGGACGTTTTAAAGGAGAGGTCAGCAACTGCTTTGTGATTGAAGTTGGAGCCATTGTGAATGACCAAGAGTCTTACAAGCAAATTACATCTCAAGCAACGGTTATTCTCTCATTGCATGGCAGAATGAAGATCATTGGAAGACCACTTAACTGTATTTAAGGAGATTGTCGCTGATTTAGAAACATTGGAAGTTAAGTACAATGAAGAAAATTTAGCCTTGATCCTATTGTTTTCATTGTTCACTTGATTTTCTTCCTTTAGAGATACGATCTTAAATAGTCATGATACTCTCTTGAGGAGGTGTATGAGTCCTTGTTTTCGAAAGAGAAGATGAAGCATTTAATTTGAGGCCAGAGATGGAGAAGGACTTATTTTTCATAGTGGTTCTAGAAGGGGCATATCGAAGTTTAAGTTCAATAATTAGATTTGTAACTATAGCTAGAATAAGGGGCACATGAAGAAAGATTGCTACAAATTGCAGAATAAAGAAATGATGGCTGCAAGTAGATATTAAAATACTTAAGGCGAAGTAGACCTCGCGAAGAACGTTGTAAGTGATGGAGATCTCTTAGGTATTTCTGACATTGAGTCTAAATCGAAAGATGATTGGATTCTTTATTCAGGTTGTGTGTTTCATATGTGTTCTAATAAAGACTTGTTTGCTACATATGAAACTGTTTCCAAATGTGTGGTGGTTATAGGAAATAACGCACCTTGTCGGGTTACTGGAATTGGTACAGTCAGATTGAAGCTATTGGACGGGACAATTAAAACACTTGACAAGGTTCGACATGTTCTGGATTTGAAGAAGAATCTCATCTCGTTTTCTATCCTTCATTCAAAAGGTTACAAGTTCTTTGTTAGATGTAGAGCTTTGAAGGTTTGTAAGGGTGCCCATGTTGCATTGAAGGGAAGGAAATGTCTCAATTATACATCTTATAGGGTCGTGTAGAATCTAGAAGATTCAATTGGTACATGTTCAGTACCGTGGTAGACATTCAGATTGGTACAATACCTTTAGGAACTCGTAAAAGGTCGGATTTGAAAAATACTGCTCAGTGGAGTTTAGAAGATATGGATAATACCGCTTTGCTACCATCACTTACGGTGTCATTGTATTCAATTGCTAGGGACAAACCCAATGGAAAATGGTATGTAGATGCTGATTTTGTTGAGCATGCTTTAAGCGGAGTAGAATGTGTAAAATCTAGCAAGAGGTCTTCTTTAAAAGCATTTGGGTTTGATTCTACTTTGGAGTGTGTTACAACCTAATTTGGTAAATTATAAAATCATTATGATTTTTTGGGAATTTGAGATAATTATACAATAGTAGTGCTTGGATTGATTGGAAGAGGTGGAGTATTATGTTTTGTTGGAGAATTTTTTTATTTTTTTGTTATTGTTCAAGAAACTAGTTCATTCCTTGGTCAAATTCGTGTTAAGGTGGAGATTATTGGAATTTGGGTGTGACCTGAATTCCTTTGTTGAAGTGTTTGAAGTATTGAAGAATTCTAATTGAAGTGCACGTCAAGAAGAATTCAGTTTGGAATGGTGTTTGAGTCATATGTCAAGTTGAAGTTATATTTTGGAAGCCTATTGGGAGTTGTAAATTGATATTGGACTTGAAGAAGAATTTGAACGAATAAAACAATTTAAAAAAATATTTTTTTGGGCAAATTGCCAGATACCTCATCGAGCCTCGGTGTCGTAGTGCCCGGAGGTGGGCGCCACCTGTTTTGTTATGTTTTGTTTCTCGCGTTTCTTCTCCTACTTCGTTTTGAATTCAATTTTTTGTCATCCTACTTCATCAACAACTCTACTAAGAGGGTTTGGACGTCCCCCTACATGTTCATCATAAATATTAGACTCTTCTATATAATTTTATAAGTTTGAGAAAATAGATTACTAGAATTATAGGATCCATTGTAATTTTCTATTTTCTCCATTATTCTTGAGTCAATAAAATCTCATAATTCATCTGCTATATTCTTGTATTCTCTATTCTTTTGCTTGATCACATACTTCATTATTATTTGCCATATAACTTCAATATCTCAATCCGGTGGTCGGTTTCACAACAAGTGGTATCATAGATATTCTGGTATCTTGTTTGTTTTACAACAATAGCAATGTGAGAGATTGGAGTAGCTATTCTGTGAACTCCAAAGAAACTAACCTGTCGTCAATTTTGTGATGATGACCATGAAACAATGCTGTCAGGACAAGCATATGGTTGCTACAATCTGAAGAGCTCGCCATGTAGAATCCTTGAGCCTTTCCAAGTACCGCTGATCGCAATTCATGCCATTCGGTTATCTTATTGTCGACCACAGTAACAGAACCGAACATAAGTTGTTGAAGGGTAAGGCCACCTAGAAGCTGCCCTGCAGTAACAAAGGCATAGTTGTTTCCACTATTTACTATGTTGTTGTTTCCACTGTTTTGTAAGACGGTGTTGGTTGGTGAACCATTGAGACTTATGAGGGAGGGGAAATTGTTATTGTTGATGACGCCATTGATTGTGTTGAGTGGAACTCTACCATTGATTAGCAATATCTGGTTGTTGGGCTTGGATAAAGGGAGGTTTTAGCATCAGAGTTGGACACAATACCCGTGACCACCCTTCCTGAAGGGTGCGAGCCACCAAGGATATCATGTTTGAAAAACAGACAAGAGTGGTGATTCTGGACTCGCATTTGTTGGTGCGACGCTCCCCTTCATTGAGGTGGCACTACTAACTGCTTCGCTCGATGTTGTGGTGGCTACATGTACCAAGATGGTGGTTTGTGCTGGCTCAATGTTAGAAGTACTAGCTGCAGGCCCAACAACTGGAGCAGCCAGTTCTGTAGGAGGAATATGGCCAGTCGTGGTGGCCGACAATTTACCACTAGGTAAAGTGGTAGGAGCCACGGTCTGATTCGAGACATTGATCGGGAAAGGAAATTGTGGGGTGACATCGTCGAGAATTCTAGCTGAACTAGCACGCCAACGGGTGGTGGCTAAAAAGAATAAGCAGGTGATTGACTTGAGATGTTTACAGGGGAGCATTAGAAGTTTAGCCATTTGGTTGTGAAATGGGGAAAGAGAGCAAGCAGTGAAGTTGTGAATGTATACTAATTCCTTTAATACATATATAGATTGAGTAGGCACTAATGAAAAGTGGAGGTGGAGACGTGGAGTTAGTGCATGCCCTTATTTTATTAAGGTCTGATAAGATAAAGAACCTAACCTCTTTATTAAAGAGGCTATGGAGATTTTGGTTTTGTTGAGTACTAATGGGTTAGTTCCTGTTAGTTGCAAAAAAAACTCTTTAATCTTCATAAGGAAAAAAAAAGGCAAATAACCTCTTTAACACACCCCACAAACTAAACAAATTTGCTATATCGTATTATCAAATAAGGTAACAGTTTTATATGAAAATTATGCATTTGTCACACCTTTAATGAAAACTAAAATTTAAATTCAACTTGCAGGTGCAAACAAATAAAGAGTGGTTAAAGGTTAATATTCACCATCTTGTGCCCTGTTGAGATTTTCAGAAGGTGGGGCAAGGACGGAGACATGGCATGGCAGGAATATAAATATTCTCATTTTTCGCCGCCATTTTTTTCATGTTCTTATTATTGAGAGTCATAAACACTAACTCAATCCCACCAAGAGCAATCAATTTAAATAAAGAAAATAAACAATCAAGAATATACAAAACTTATAGAGGTTCGCCTCAATGTGAAACTACTTCCTCTCTTGTCGATACAGTAATTCATATGATGAAAAAATATTCACAAGAGAAAATATCAACAATATCTCATCTAACCTCTCTTTCTCTCTATTTGATGATAATACGTAAAGTCTAATGATTGCTCCCTATTTGTAAGATAAAGTAGGGCAAATCGAATTTTACAAGGACTCTTACCCTATACCCTAAACACTCATTTGTCTAATATTATTGTTTTTAAACACAATTAAATTTAATAACATAAAAGTGGCTCCTCGCCCCGTATATGAATTCCTCGATTAAGGGGTGATCCTGGTCACATTCAGGGTGGGATATTACCATCCTTGTGCACAAGTGACAAGTCGTATAAATTTGAAGTCAAGAATTTGTTAGAATTTGTAGCATGCAAGAAAGGAAAAGAAATTTCTAAAATCAAAACGGTTAAATCACTTTGATTCTCCTAACTATAAATTTGCACATTTACACTCCATGTCTAAGAACTCAGAAAGAATTTATTATCCACAACCAAGCATTCATTTCTTCAACTCATAGTACTAAGCAGACAAATATAATCAGAAATGGTTGGATTATTAAAACCTTGTAGCTGTACTTCCATAGGATAGCAGATGGACATTCTTAACATCAAGATGACATGTTTACAAATTGTAAGCTAAGAAAACCAATGTTAATAAGAATATAATAGCGGTCTTTACCTTATTTCCATCGTTTATTCTTCTATATATTGGATGCATTCTTTGCCTGCATTGTCTTTGAGGAAAATGTTCTTGGATAATGGAATCAACATGTTTCATTTACCATGCACAGGCATTTTTTGTGATATTCTCCACAGGTTCTGTTAGGTTTTAATTATGTAATTGAAAATTCTATAAACAAAAGGGACTTAATTGTAAATGGTGTGAAAATTCAAGGGGTAATGTGCAATTATATGAAAATAGGTTTATTAGGCCTAGGGTTCGACTGTCGCCCTGCCTTAGCTCGAGCGATAGCCTATCGCTCGATTGTCGCTGAGCTCTCACTCAAGCGACAGGGTTGTTTGGGAACTTTTTATTTCGCGATTTAAAAGTTTTTTTCCCTGACCCATTACTTTTCTAACCTACCTATAAATACCAAAACACATTTGAACATAAAAAATAAGGTTGATCATTGAGAGAGTTTCATCAAAGAGAATTCCTACATATTCCTACTTTCAACTTTCATCTTGTAAGTTTGTTTTGGGAAGAAAAACATTAATTTCATAATCCAAATACCAAATTTTTCTTCCCACCACATATGTCAGAGTTGCTGAAGATCGAGGAAAGTTTAATAGAGTTCCAGTAGTTGAAGAATGCGAATTTTTGTTGATCCACAAGAGATAAACGATTTCACAAATCTAGGAGTTGCTGCAGGAGAGCACAATCCAGGAGAATTTTGGAAACTGTAGCTGGAAGTGGAGCAGGAGCACAGAACCTAGGAAAGCTGTTGGAATTGAAGTCAGGAGATTAGATAGTATGTGTCGTCATGTAGGCTGGTAGACTGTAAGTTACAAATCGTTTATAGTGGATTGTTGATTGGCAAAGTGCCCGAAGTTTTTACCCAGTTGGGATTTCTCTATGATCATACCATGTGTTCTTGCTGCTTTCATTATTAATTATATTAATCTCTCACTCAAGCGACAGGGTTGTTCGGGAACTTTTTATTTCGCGATTTAAAAGTTTTTTTCCCTGACCCATTACTTTTCTAACCTACCTATAAATACCAAAACACATTTGAACATAAAAAATAAGGTTGATCATTGAGAGAGTTTCATCAGAGAGAATTCCTACATATTCCTACTTTCATCTTGTAAGTTTGTTTTGGGAAGAAAAACATTAATTTCATAATCCAAATACCAAATTGTTCTTCCCACCACATATGTCAGAGTTGCTGAAGATCGAGGGAAGTTTAATAGAGTTCCAGTAGTTGAAGAATGCGAATTTTCGTTGATCCACAAGAGATAAACGATTTCACAAATCTAGGAGTTGTTGCAGGAGAGCACAATCCAGGAGAATTTTGGAAACTGTAGCTGGAAGTGGAGCAGGAGCACAGAACCCAGGAAAGCTATTGGAATTGAAGTCAGGAGATTAGATAGTATGTGTCGTCATGTAGGCTGGTAGACTGTAAGTTACAAATCGTTTATAGTGGATTGTTGATTGGCAAAGTGCCCAAAGTTTTTACCCAGTTGGGATTTCTCTATGATCATACCATGTGTTCTTGTTGCTTTCATTATTAATTATATTAACTAGTTGGAGTTTTTTCGTGATCCTACCGTGTGTTTATATTACTTTCTGTATAGATTATATTAACTGCGGTATTTAAACATAAGTCAAATTGACTTGTATGCTTAATCATCTAGAGATAATTAATTGGTGACATATTGCTAATTAATTAATATTTTTAATTCCACACAATATACTTATTCATCCTCCTATATGTATTGTTAGGGTTGAACTACGTCACTTTCAATTGGTATCAGAGTCTTAATTCGATTTCTGACCCTTTATAACATCTAGATGAGTCAGTCATTGTCTGTGTCTTCATTTTTCGACGGAAACAACTATGCCTACTAAAAAGTTCGAATGAAAGCCTTCCTTAACTATTTGGATGAACGTATTTGGATTAGCGTTCAAAATGGGTGGGCTCCACATTCAACAACTGTTGCTGGTGTAGTCACACCCACTAACATCTCTCTATGGACCAAAATTAACTTAGATGAATGTAACAAGAACAGTAAAGCATTACATGATCTGTTCATGGTCGTGTCTGTTGAAGAATTGAGGAGAGTTTCGATGTGTGAAACTACCAAGGAAGTTTGGGATATTTTAGAAACTACATACGAGAGAACTAAAATGGTTAAAAATTCTAAACTACAGATGTTAACCACTAGGTTTGAAGAGAGTAGGATGAAAGATTATGAATCGTTCGATGAATTCTATGCGAAGCTGAATGACAAAGTTAATTCGTGATTTAACTTAGGTGAAAGGATTCCCGAGTCCAAAATCGTTAGAAAAGTCCTTAGATCCCTGCCTGAGAGGTTTAGACCTAAGCTCACTACAATAGAAGAAAGTAAAGACTTAGATGCTGTTAAGATATAAGAACTCGTATGATCTCTTCAAACTTATGAACTCGCCTTTTCTCAACCTAAAAAGGTTAAATCCATCGCCATGAACACCATTAGTAAAGATGAGAGTGAGTTTACTGATGCTGAGTCACTTAGGGATGACAAAATAGCTTATTTCGTTAAAAAAATTCAGAAAGTGATGGGGAATATGAGAAAACCTCAATAATGGAAAAGTGGATTCCCTAGTAAATTCGAGAAAGATAATCGTGAAGAGAGTGACTCTACGACTGCTAATAAGAAAACCCAATCTGTTAGATGCCATGAGTGTCAGGGTTAAGGTCACTATAGGAATAAATGTCCTAACTTGAAAAAGAGTTCTAATAATGGTAGACATAAAGCTTTAGAGGTGACCTTAAGTGATGATGAATCAGTTTCTAGTGCTCAGAGTGATACTTCCAGTGGTGAAGATAATCAAAAGTTCATGGCCTTCACATCTATAGCTACTGCAGAATCTGATAAGGAAATTGATAAGAATGAAAGAGATGAAGAGAGTGAGAAATCTGAGGATGAACCTGACATACACGAATCTTATCATGAACTATTTGAGGAGAGTCTTAAGATTAAGAAGATCAATCAAGCTATTTTGAAGAAGGTTAACGAAGTTGAAAGAGAAATAGAGAAACTCATAGGTGACCTTCAGGACTCTACCAAAAGACTGTGTGAGTTAAAGCTTATTAACAAATATCAAGAAGCCAAAATTAAATCATTAACAAATTATCTTGAAAAATCCAGTACTCAACTCCAATCATTCATGAGTGGCTCGCAGAAACTTGATAATCTGTTGGGGATGAACAAGCATACTGGAGATAGGCATAGTCTAGGTTATGTTCATAATGGTAATACTACTGCCAGTACATCTTAGACCACGTTCGTTCCAGCCACTAACAAAGCTCGAAAAATTGTTTACCCCGAACCAAAGGGCAAAAAAGACTTAAGATTGAGACCTACTAGATAACGTAGGGTAAATCGTCCTACTTATCGGCAACAACCGCCGAACAGGTTTGAATCTAGGTTTATTCCCACCTGTCACCATTGTGGTGTAATGGGACATACAAGACCTAGGTGTCATAAACTCGTGACTAGAAGTAAAAGTCAAGATGTCTCAAGCACGGTTAACTTCTTCGCCAATCAGGTTAGCCACTTAACTGAGAGGATGACTCGTTAACTAAAATCACTTCTACTTCTAAGCAG